CTGACGATTCACCGGTGTAGTCCCATTTTTTTTGCGGTTATTTGGATAAGGCATTGACTTGTTTGAAGCAACATTGGGATCCAAACCTGTGATCCTCTTGGCCTGTTGTCTGGTGGTGCGGTGCGTTAGGTTGGAATTCGAACTCATTCCGGATGTTATGAATCCTATGTAATGCCCAGTGATGAGCTCGTGATTGAGACGGTTTCTTTCAAGCAACAAAGCCAACCGATTTATCAGATTTTGGCTGTGCTTGATTTCAAATTTCAAGCTTTTCAAGCTTCCCAGCCTGGTGCCACGTTGGGAAATAAACCAATAAGCCGTTGCAAATCAGCCAACTTCCCTTTCTTATTTTTTTGCACCAAAAAAAACACGGGACCTGAACAGCGTCATGGCCCGGGACATATTATGGAGGACCAGATCAGCCATAGATTGCAGCCTGATCAGCCACGGGTTTTGTGGCGGGGTAACCCCCCAGTTGCCAAACCAGTCAACGAGTCAACCAGTGGTTGATGAAAATAATATTGAATAGAGTTATTGGATGTTATTAGTACATATAATAATTATAGAATGGGCTAGCGCCCTGGTGCCGCCCCTATTTGGGGGGTTTTAGGGGTTTTAAGGGTTTGAATAACGGTTTGAAGGCTGGCAAACGGCAGGCTTGAACGCCATAACAACAGAGGGCTATGCAGGCAAACGCAGGCAAACTGCAGGCTGCAACGCTGGAACAGCAAAGCCTTACGGCCAGAGGGCTTGGTGGAAGCTGCCGCGAGGGATTTGGAGAGTCTTAGGGGTTTGAAGAGTTTTAAAGGGTTTAAGGGTTTGACGGCAGGCTTGAACGCGCTAACAACAGAGGGCTATGCGCAGGCAAACGGCAGGCTGCAACGCTGGAACAGCAAGGGCTTACGGCCACAGGGCTTGGTGGAGGCTGCCGCGAGGCGCCCTAGGCATGGACGCCCTAACAACAGAGGGCGATGCAAGAAAACGCAGGCAAACAGCAGGCTGCAACGCTGGAAGAGCAAAGGCTTACAGGAGGGCTTGGTGGAAGCTGCCGCGAGGGATTCGGAGCATTTTAGGGGTTGGAAAGGTTTTAAGGGTTTTAAGCGTTTAGGGGGTGGCAAACGGCAGGCTTGAACGCCCTCAACAGAGAGGCATGTGCAGGCAAACAGCAGGCTGCAGGCTATGGAGGCAAACGGCAGGCTGCAACGCTGTTTTAGAGGTTTTAGGGGTTTTAAGCGCTTGAAGGCTGTGGCAAACGGCAGGCTTGAACCCCCTAACAACAGAGGGGCATGTGCAGGCAAACGGCAGGCTGCAACGCTGGAACAGCAAAGGCTTACAGGAGGGCTTGGTGAAAGCTGCTGAGGGATTCGGAGCATTTTAGGGGTTTGAATGGTTTTAAGAGTGTGTGGAAGGCTTACAGCATGGCTTGGTGGAAGCTGCCGCGAGGGATTCGGAGCATTTTAAGGGTTTTAAGGGTTTGAAGGCTGGCAACGGAGCATTTTAAGGGTTTTAGGGGTTTTAAGGGTTTGAAGGCTGGCAAACGGCAGGCTTGAATGCCCTAACAACAGAGAGGCATGTGCAGGCAAACAGCACGCTGCAGGCTATGCAGGCAAACGGCAGGCTGCAACGCTGGAACAGCAAAGGCTTACAGGAGGGCTTGGTGGAAGCTGCCGCGAGGGATTCGGAGCATTTTACGGGTTTGAAGGGTTTTAAGGGTTTGAAGGCTGGCAACGGAGCATTTATGGGTTTTAGGGGTTTAAGGGTTTGAAGGCTGGCAAACGGCAGGCTTGAACGCCCTAACAACAGAGGGCCATGCGCAGGCAAACGGCAGGCTGCAACGCTGGAACAGCAAGGGCTTACGGCCACAGGGCTTGGTGGAGGCTGCCACGAGGCGCCCTAGGCATGGACGCCCTAACAACAGAGGGCGATGCAAGAAAACGCAGGCAAACGGCAGGCTGCAACGCTGGAAGACAAGAGCAAAGGCTTACAGGAGGGCTTGGTGGAAGCTGCCGCGAGGGATTCGGAGCATTTTAGGGGTTGGAATGGTTTTAAGGGTTTTAAGAAGGCTTACAGCAGGGCTTGGTGGAAGGTACCGCCAGGGATTCGGAGCATTTTAATGTTTTTTTAAAGGGTTTTAAGGGTTTTAAGCGTTTGAAGGCTGGCAAACGGCAGGCTTGAACGCCCTAACAACAGAGTGCTATGTGCAGGCAAACAGCAGGCTGCAAGCTATGCAGGCAAACGGCAGGCTGCAACACTGGAACAGCAGAGGCTTACAGCAGGGCTTGGCTGAAGCTGCCGCGACGCGGGATTCGGAGCATTTTAGAGGTTTTAAGGGTTTGAAGGCTGGCAACGGAGCATTTTAAGGGTTTTAAGGGTTTGAAGGCTGGCAAACGGCAGGCTTGAACGCCCTAAGAACAGAGGGCTATGCGCAGGCAAACGGCAGGCTGCAACGCTGGAACAGCAAGGGCTTACGGCCACAGGGCTTGGTGGAGGCTGCCGCGAGGCGCCCTAGGCATGGACGCCCTAGAACAGCAAAGGCTTACGGCCAGAGGGCTTGGTGGAAGCTGCCGCGAAGGATTTGGATGGTTTTAGGGGTTTTAAAGGTTTGAAAGGTTTGAAGGCTGGCAAACGGCAGGCTAACAAGAAAGTTTAAGGGTTTGAAGGCTGGAAAACGGCAGGCATGGACGCCCTAACAACAGAGGGCAATGGAGACAAAGGGCAGGCTGATCGAAGCTGCCGCCAAGCAGTGAAGCATTTGGAGCCAAGAAAAACAAGTTCCACACCTGCGGTGGTCCCAGGCGCCGCCCCTGCCTTGGCGAAGGCCGGGGTCGGCGGATTATAGATAGTCACAAATGGCAAACAACCAACAGAGTCATGCTTTCTTTTCCTGCCCGATTTGTTGCGAAAAATCCACGCATTTGTCAACAGCCCTCGCATTTCAATTGTTGGCACTTGGCCGGTGAATTCCCAATGGGTCGCAGACACACGAAGAGGCTTTGCCATCATCCGACATTTCAGGGTGACTGGGGGATTTCTCAGAACCAACAGAAAAATATTGGTTTTGTGATGGTTGATCATGAAAACTGATGCTTGTGTGATGGTCTAATGATGGTTTAATGGTGGTTTAATGGTGGTTTAATGATGGTCTTACGATGGTTTTATGGGGTTTACACAATTACCACCCCAACACTCCCAATTTTTTCAGAAGCTCTCCAGCAGAAGGCCTGATTTGAGAAATCCCGTTTTGTTGGGTTGTCATTGATATCTCACATACGCATCATGTGTATGTATTTTCATGTATTTTCCACGTATGACCGTCTGACTTTTTTTTTGTTTCCTTTCGTTTTTTCCTGATGACGGTTTTCCATGAACGACCTCCTGTTATTTCACGTGTGCCACGGTTGAACCGGGTTTCTGTTCACTCGAGACCTCCCCTGGAATGCGACTCCATTGACTCTATCTGAAGGTTTCATATGGCACCGGGTCAAAAGTTGATGATGAAGCTTGGGATGATCCGTTCCAACAGGGCCAGACTGGGCCAGCTATTTTGAGGGTTTGGAACTTTTTGGATGTGGGTTTCATCAAACATCATCACCTTCCTGGCCTGTGGTCATATCGTTTCGTCCTACCCAGCATTTCAAGCATGCGATGGCGTCAAGCGGGTTGATCTGGCAGCTGATCTTGTCACAAAGAGCGAGAAGAGCTGGACCAAGGGGTTCAAGATCGCCCATGTGCGTATATCTACGGTGAAGGCTAGCTTAGTAGATCTATTATATAATATATATATATATATATATATTTATACATATATAAAATATATGTATATATATATATGTATAAATAAATAAATATATATATATATATATATGTATATATATATACATATGTTTTTGCAGAATATCTATGTTTTGCCTCGAAATTTAATGCCATTCACGCCTTGTATTGACAGGTGTTTTCGGTGTGGCTCACAACCCCCTTGAGTTTCCTGTTTCAAACAGACCTGGTTCACGTTGGGAAGCTGGTGCACGAAGAAAACACATCGCCCTTGTGCTGGAAATGGATCCGATCGTTTTCATCGGTGCCAGTGCATCACTGGAAAACACAGGTCCGCAGCGGAGCTGCCACTGGTTCGTCGAGTCGTCGAGATCAATTCATTGTTTCGAAGTGGACTTGACAATGGGGTGTACCCCCAAAAAATCACGAAATGGCATCTTTCGAAGGAACATGGTGATTATCATCCAGGGGACTTTGAGGCACCTTATTTTAAGGGCCTTAAATTGATGGGTTGACACTGGCTCATTGATGGGTGATTCTCGCTTGGGTACATCAACTCCAAGGAGGCTCGTCTATCTATCTATCTATCTATCTATCTATCTATCTGTCTACCTATCTATCCGGCTAGTTCTCTCTCGTGCTATCTAGTTTTTACAGGTTTTTACCTATTTCTATCTATTGTAATCAAATTCTAGCTATTTCTATTTATGTCTATTTGTCTCTATCGAAATCTTATGTATGTACCTATCTATTTTTATCTATTTCTCTTTGCATATATCTATCTAGTCTATCTCCATTCATCTTGTCCAATCGAATGCCATTTAACAGAATCCAATCTGATTTCATGTAAGTCTAATCCAATCTCATTTTCCCGATCCTCTATCCCTGGATTAGCTGAAGATGATTTTCGCAATGGGAAATCCACTACTTGGGGGAACACTATAGTTTTTTGGGGGGTTCCTCAAGCAAATTGGAATCGAAGAACCTTCTCTGTCTGAACAATCGAGTCTATCTGTGGTAAATGAAACCAATCTATCAGTCAATCCATCGATCAATCAATCCCATCTAAGCTAATTCTTAATCCAATACAAAAGCAATCTATCCAGTCAATCTTTCTATCTATTACTTATAGATGTCATGATTCATGAATATACGTACAGCTCGGCACTGTTTTTGTTGCTGACCCCCCACTCTTGGTGGATTCTTTTGCGACCACGACTTTGCGAACGATGGCAGAAGCTCCAGACGCAGAGTTTCTGACTCAGCTGGTACCGTGAAGACAAGCGGAGTGCATGATGAGACGTAAATTCCTCGTGTCATACTGAATTCATGGTCCAACACTGCGGAACCTCACAGTGCATAGTGGGTGCAGTTGGACAGGCACAGTGCAAGCCTAGAAAAGTTCATTTGCACAGGGTCGGGCGGCCGCACCGTTTCGGCGATGGCCTGATGGAAGATGTCACATCCAAATATAGTAGGTGGAAGCATCCCCTGGCAATCTAGTCATGGCAAAGCCTCATATTTCATACAGATTCATATAGACTTCATATAGGATATAAAATATAGGCTAGACATGAAGAAGTGTTTGTCGCTCAAGTTGCACCTACATTGCAACTTGAGGTATGAAAAACATCAGAAGTGTGTTTCTAGGGACAGCTCATGGTCTCCAGGTCTGCTAGTCGATTCTCGCGACCGTCCGCGCTTTTCTTGGCAGAATTCAACTTGGGTTTCTTCAAACATGGGGGTGCCGGCCAAACACGGCCATATTTCCATGATTCGACGTACTAAAGATCATGGCCCATTGTCCAATCCTGGAAGTGTTTTGCTTTTCTGCCCTTTTTTCTTTTTTTTTCCGTGAGGCCCCTCCCATTTCCAGAGAAACTTGCTATGGCGTGGCAAAGCATCAATCCCACCGTGTGCTGCACTACTGATGGCCGCCGGGCTGTCTGGAGCGCGCAGAGAGGAGGGACCGGTCCTCCGAAAAGCGGGAAAGGTTGCAGCAAAGGGCCTGATAGATTTGCAGAGATGTTGTGTTCCAGTTGATGATTCATGATAATGAATGACAATTGATGACGATTGGCCACGTATGAATTTCCCATCACCTCGTAGTTCGTTCCTTTTGAAATTGCTGGTAGATTGCTTGAAGTTATCCCCATGATTCTGGAGATTTCACGAACGCGCTGCGACCTCAATGTACTAACGTTGGTGAGTACGTGCAAGTATCCGAAAATTCTTTGATTTAAGTTCGTCAGTCATTATCTGGTTGGTGGTTTTCACATACTTTTTACTTTCGCCCTCAAAATGGGATGACAATCCCCAATGACGAGCACCTTTTTCGGGGGTCGAAACCACCAACCAGTTTTGATTTATCCAGATTCCAATAGAATATGCTTCCAGTGATTGAGGCTACGACTTTCCCTTGGCACATCAAGAGTGCGCGGGCTGGGCACAGGCAACGAGTTGCCTGGGACACCTAATTGGAGGGTTAAGAGTCATAACATGTTTTTGGAACTTGGGTAATCTATGGTAATCTCAAATGTTCTCTGTACTCAGAAAAAGAACTGGGACAGTCATCTGAAAATCAACGCTGATTTTTAATATTCTGGTTGGTGCTTTGGAACATTTTTGGATTATGAATTTCCATATCTTGGGAATGTCATTGGGCCCTGACGATGTTTCGTCATATCAGAGGGGTAGGACTCAACCACCAATTTCCGTAGGAAGGTGTTTTTCCTGCTACGGGATGATGAGTGGTAACCACTGTCAGCCACGTTCACCATTTGACCATTTTACTACGAATATGACTGCAAGAAATACTACAACATTACAACATACTACAATAGAACATTAGGACTAATAGTAGTATTAATCACTATGAAAAACTATTACTGTATGATTATTAATCACGAATAAGAGTACTATGAATCACTATTATATAATCACTATTACTGCAATATTAATCACGGTTAATCGCGATTAGTTAATCACGATTCATCAGGATTAATCACCATTAATGTCAAGTTAGGATTAATAATTCCCCACCAGTTAATAATCCCTGGCTTCTCCCCCGATTTTGGGGGCAATACTAAAGTCAATTAGGTGGCGTTTTCCCCACAGTTAATCATCCACCTCCGGATCCCTAATTTTTGGGTGGGACTAAGTTGCTCTTGCCCCCTTTTACTTTTAATTATGGTTACAGTTTCCAGGGTTACTTAGTGACCCGTTCCTATCTAATAAATCCCATGTTATAGGCTCATAAATCCATGGGTTCTATTGCCTATTGATGGTTTCACAGCACACACACACACCCATGGTCACCCACCATGCTCATCCAACCCAAGACTCATAGGTTCATTAAGATTGATGCCTTGTTGATGGTCATTTCCAAGCCTATTCCCTCCAAATTCAGGCCATTCAACCCTGCATGGGTGCTAACTCATAACTGGGTTTATCAAAATTGATGCTCCATCGGTGCTTATTTGCAAGCTAATTCCAGCAACATTGGTTCATGGATGAGCGAAAGGCAGATGATTTCGGGGGGTTGGGTTTTTTGACTCCCTGACTGGACCTTGTCGACCTTGTTGACCTATAGGGGGGAGTATTGATCAGGACTAATCACTATTAATCAGTATTAATCAACTTTTTCCCAAAAGCATCTCCGATGCTTGGGTTCTCGTTTAGTTTACTTTGCCGCGGGGGGAGCGACACAGAAGCGACGACAGGGTGGACGGACGGGAAACCGTGGGAAGTAGCTTGGGGAGAGCCCCGTTGGGAGGGAGCGAGATGGAAGCGTGGACATGGTGGACGGACAGGAAACCGTGGGCAATAGGTTGGGGAGAGCTCCGTTGAGAGGGAGCAATACGGAAGCGACGACAGGGTGGACGGATGGGAAACCATAGCTTAGAGCTCCGTTAGAAGGAGCGATATAGTGAGAATGTAGAGCTATTGGCACGGGTTTTCAGGACAAATTCCATCAATGCGATTGTGCCGAAAAACTGTGCGCCCAAGACTTGTCAAGCGGTGTGCAAATGCATAGCTTTGTTGGCAGGGAGCAAGGCTAAAAGAGCAGAGCTGTTGGCACGGGTTTTTCAAGACAAATTCAATCAATGCGATTGTGCCGAAAAACTGTGCGCCCAAGACTTGTCAAGCGGTGTGCAAACACTGGGCGATGGGACTTGCATAGCTTTGTTGGCAGGGAGCAAGGCTAAAAGAGCAGAGCTGTTGGCACGGGTTTTTCAGGACAAATTCCATCAATGCGATTGTGCCGAGAAACTGTGCGCCCAAGACTTGTCAAGCGGCGTGCAGCCACTGGGCGATGGGACATGCATAGCTTCGTTGGCAGGGAGCGGCGCGAAGGATGCGCAGCTGTTGGCACGGGATTTTCGGGGAAAATTTCATCAATGCGATTGTGCCGAGAAACTGTGCGCCCAAGACTTGCCAAGCGGTGTGCAAATGCATAGCTTTGTTGGCAGGGAGCAAGGCTAAAAGAGCAGAGCTGTTGGCACGGGTTTTTCAGGACAAATTCCATCAATGCGATTGTGCCGAGAAACTGTGTGCTCAAGACTTGTCAAGCGGTGTGCAAACATTGGGCGATGGGACATGCATAGCTCGTTGGCAGGGAGCAAGACTAAAAGAGCAGAGTTGTCGGCACGGGGTTTTTCAGGACAAATTCCATCAACGCGATTGTCCCGAAAAATTATGCGCCCGAGACTTGTCAAATGGTTTCTTTAAACGCTGTGCAACGGGACATGCATGGGAAAATGTTCGTTGCTGGAGGGTTTTCATTTTGCATGGCGTTCTTTCCATCGATGAATCGTCTTCGCTCCCTTCGCAGGGAAGCAAACTAAACAAGAACCGGAGCATAGGAGATGCATCAGCGTGAACGGACAGGTGGGTAAAAAGCTTGGGGAGAGCTCTGCCGGGTGGGAGCGGCATACAAAATGCAGAGCTGTTGGCACGGGTTTTACACAGAGCAGCTTTCACACAGAGGAGCTTTACGCAGAGGCTCTTTTACACAGAGAAGCTTGTACACATGGAGGACTTTACACATAGAAGCTTTTACACAGAGAAACTTTTACACACGAAAGCTTTTACACACAGAAGCTTTTACACTAAGAAACTTTACACACCGAGAAGTCTTACACAGAGGAGCTGTTACACACAGACGCGTTTACACAGAGCAGTCTTTACACAGAGGAGCTTTTACAAACAGAAGCTTTTACACACAGACGCGCTTACACACAGAAGTTTACACACAGACACCTTTCCGGCGCACAGAAACTTTTACAGAGAGCAGCTGTTGCACAGCGAAGCTTTTAGACACAGAAGCTTTTACACAGAGTAGCTTTTACACAGAGATGTTTTTGCACAGAGAAGTCTTGACACAGAGAAGCTTGTACACACAGAGGCTTTGACACAGAGAATTCTTCTACACAGAGAAGCCTGTACACAGGAGCTTTTACACACAGAAGCTTTTACACAAAGAAACGTTTACACAGGAAAGCTTTTACACACAGAAGCTTTTACACCGAGAAGCTTTTACACCGAGAAGCTTTTACACCGAGCAGTCTTACACAGAGGAGCTTTTACACACAGACGCGTTTGCATAAAGAAGTTTGCACACAGACACATTTACGCCGCACAGAAGCTTTTACACAGAGTAGCTTTTACACAGAGATGTTTTTGCACAGAGAAGTCTTGACACAGAGAAGCTTGTACACACAGAGGCTTTGACACAGAGAATTCTTCTACACAGAGAAGCCTGTACACAGAGGAGCTTTTACACACAGAAGCTTTTACATACAGAAGCTATTTCACAAGAAAGCCTTTACACAGAGGAGGTTTCACACACACACACAGAAGCTTTTACACGCAGACGCGTTTACACAAAGGAGTCTTTACACACAGATGCGTTTACACACCGAAGCTTTTATACACAGAAGATTTTACACAGAGTAGCTTTTACACAGAGAAGTCAGAAGTCTTTACCGGAGAAGTTTTGACACAGAGAAGCTTGCACACACACACACACGCAGGGGCTTTTACACAGAGAAACCTTTTACACAGAGCAGCTTTTACACAGGAGGGCTTTTGCAAAGAGGAGCTTTTACACAGAGAAGCTGGTACGCAAAGAAACTTTTACACACAGAAACTTTTGCACAAGGAAATTTTTACACACGGAAGCTTTCACACACAGAAGTTTTTACACAAAAAAACCTTTACACAGAGGAGCTTTCACACACAGGAGCTGGTATGCAAAGAACCTTTTACACACAGAAACTTTTATACACAGAGGACGTTTTACACAGGCACTTTTACACACAGAAGCTTTTACACAAAAAAACCCTTTACACAGAGGAGCTTTTACACACAGAAGCTTTTATGCAAAGAAACTTTTTACATACAGAAACTTTTACACACAGAAGCTTTTACACACAGAAGCTTTTACACACAACAAGCTTTTACACAGAGAAGCTTTTGCACACAGCAAGCTTTTATGCACAGACGCGTTCACACACAGTAGCTTTTACACATAGAAGCTTTGATGCAGAGAAGTCTTTACACATCTTTTATATTCTTTTATCATGTCTCATTTTTCATGATTATTCATGATCTGTCATCTTCGCATCTTCGTGTTAATGCTCTTTTGGTCAACTCCCTCCTGCTTTTCTTTCGGGCCGCATTGTCGTTTAGTTTCCATGTCGCCCCGTGTTCTGTCCGTCCACGCTTCGTCCTCGCTCCCCCTGCGGCGAATCAAACTAAACGAGAACCCAGGCATAAATAGCGACTAGAAAGATGGGATAGAGTTACATGGGCAGAAATAGCGACTAGAAGAATGTAGACGTAGCTGACGCAGCATGCTGTGGTGAATTGTGGCCCCTGATGCCATCAGTGCGCACGATGTCTCAATAAAGATCTTGCGTCGGTTTCGTGCAGAGCACAGCTGCCCACACCACCAGATTTCTTAAAAAAGGTGTGCTGTGTGCCGTCTTGCTTGTGGGTTCTCTCGCCCACCTTGTTTTTAAATATCACTTTTATTCCATTGGGAAACAAAGCCACCAACTCAATCCGCCACGAGATGTGGAACAAACTTGCGGAGCGCAGGGCTTGCGGCACGCTGCGAGTGTCCCCAGCATTGCCTGGGCCCCTGGATGGGTGCAAAGGATGGTTTCAAGGCCATTTAAAGTTAATAAATACATGGAAAAGAAAGATATTATCATTGTTAATTGTATAGCAATAGCAGTAAGAACAAGTCATATTTTTTCGTAATCATGATCATATACCGTATATTATAATGTATATTAGAGTAGTACTAGCAATAGTACTAGCAATATTTACAATGATTTTGACAATGAGAATAATATGGATAATACTATTGATAGTAGTAGCATAGTTTGCTGAAACAAATGAACCGGAGCTGTTTTCCCTTTCCAGCTTGGGTCATCTTTTCTAAAACAACCTTCAGAGCGTTTAGATTTCGATGACTTGACCCATCCCAACTGGAATCTCCCACCTGGTCATCAACCTGACCCACGAGTTGATCTATGTCCTAAATATGTTCGTTGGCTAAATCAGTTGTATCCCCCCAAGGGTATGACCCATTCTCAGAGGGCCACTTACGCTTGGACACAGCAGCAACAGCACCTAGGCTTCTCCAGGCCCGTCGGGAGACTCAGAGGGAGAAACTCAAGGCCCGGGTGGGGCCACACGTTTTTTCTTGGGTACTGAACCATCCATTTTCGGGTGCCCTGATGACTTGACCTGTCCCTATCTGGTAGGTGGTGTCAATTGCAAGCCGTATAACCGAAGGAAATTTCGAAGTCAAACTTCCGTCTTATGGACAGATGCAGCAATACTTGTGAGAACAATCAGAGAAGGTAAAGAGTCAGAGAAGAGAGCATCAGTAGAAAGAAGATCAAAGTGAGCGAAAGGGTACAAGATCTGGTGCTGAGCCACTGGTGGTCGGAGCACTTTTGGAAGTTGAGCTGCAGATTTCCTGAGAGGGGCTGCGCTTTGGAGCATCAGATCTGTAGGTTTGCTAAGATGATTTTGCGTGACAGGTGCAGCACTTCATATGACCTGGCCTCACTTTTTCATGGTAGTGGCAGTACTTCAGACAGGTGGGGCGGAAACATCACAAAACGCATTGGTGCGAGGCCGTCAGCTCGGCACCCCATTTGCAATTTTGCAGAAAGCCCGCAGAATTGCTTCGTTTTCAACGTTGTCAATGTCGAATTTTTGAGGATGTCTTGCAGACTTGCCTCGTTTTGGAGCTGTGAAGTTTCATTTTTTGAGGAAGTCTCGCAGAGTTGCTTCCTTACAGATAGATGGATGGATGGATGCATGGATGGATAGATGGACAGATGGATCGATGGATAGATGGATAGATGGATGGAAGAATAGGTGGATAGATGGAAAGATGGATAGATGGATAGATAAATCGATAGGTAGATGGGTTGGTAGGTTGCTAGGTAGATAGGTACAACGGTAGATAGGTTGATAGGTACATAGGTAGATAGGTAGATAGGTAGCTAGGTAGCTAGGTAGGTAGCTAGGTAGGTACATAGGTAGCTATAGGTAGCTATAGGTAGCTATAGGTAGCTATAGGTAGCTATAGGTAGCTATTATAGGTAGATATAGGTAGCTATAGGTAGCTATAGGTAGATATAGGTAGATACAGATTGATATAGGTTGGTAGGCTGATAGACTGATAGATGTTTGGATAGGAATAGGAAGGAACAAAGATAGGTAGAGAGAGAGAGAGAGAGAGATGGAGAGAGAGAGAGAGAGAGAGCCCAGTTGGTACGCAGATGCCCTTCGGAAGTTTGGTCCCTTGGCTGGGTCGCAAGGACATCGGTCATAGATGATAGCCGGTGATGTGGATGGATGCAGTATTGGGGAGAATATTGGAAGCAAACGGCAGTCCAGCACCTCTTACAGATTCAGCTGATATATATATATATATGTCCTAGAAATATGGCTCCAGTAGTCGGCGATTATGTTCCAAGCCTATCGCTATCCAAATACGGGGTGTCCGGTGCGTCCGGTATTTATAAGTGGTACTGCGTAGTCATCATCCAGATCTGAGTCACGGCAAAAAACAAAAAACCGCAGCCGTCGCAAAGCTAACAAGCCCTCGCCTCTCCGCTCCCACACCCCGTCGGACCAACAGACATGGTGGGCCCAGTCCAGCGCGTAGTCTACGACCTGAAAGCGAGGTTCAATGGGGACAAGGCCCTTGTTCGGCGAGAGCTCCTCCGCCGTGGCTACCGCCCCGCGCGGGTCAGCCAGCTGCTCCTGGAGTGCGACCAATTCCCTCCTCAAAACCAGCGGCAGCGCGACAGGCAGAGCTTCCAGGACCGGCCGAACATGAAAAAAGACATGATACCCCAGATATCGAATTAACTAGAAATGAATGATACACCATCGATCATCTTGAGTCTATCACAAATGTTGGAGCAAGTATACAGTAGGTTGATCACCCATGCCCCGATGCATCTCATCGAAAACAACGCGAATTGGACTTTATGAGGTCTAAAAAGATAGCAGTTTCGAATAAAAAAGGACATGATATAACGATCAGCCTGTCAGGATTCCGACATCTCTTAGTGTAGAAAGATCAATGGATGCAACAGAAAATGAAACAATCGAACAAAGAATTCACACCCCTACAGTAGATCCACTGCTTATGTAAAAAAAAAACGAAATATAAGAATATGATATATGTATATATCACATACATCTGGATGTCTCTACGACCTCGCTATTCCAGAGCCTTTAAATTGGACCCGCCCGGAACTGAACTAACTCACATCGAAGGACGTGGTCACAGGCACCATGATGGAGCTGCAGAGGCTCCGCATGGTGCGCAAGAACCTGCTGGGGGTGGCGCGCCGCTTCCGCCAAAGGCGGATCAGCGGCAGGAGGAGGTGGGTCCGGAATGTGCAACGACACATCCGGGCCCTTCTCAACCAAGTGCACATCCGAGACCTTCAGGTGAACCAAGTGGGCTGAGGCCGGGGAATGGGACTGAAGTCCAAAAAGGGGGGGGGAAGGAAGACTCATTTACTATATATCACTTTTCGCGAAGGGCGACTTTCTATCTTCCAATGCAACGATGCTTCAAATCAAACCATTAAGACTATAGGCATCGATATGCAACTTCAAGACTTGGCATTAAGCCACATTGCCTCGTGATCGTGCCAACCTTGACATGTTCGGGATCAAATGTCGAATTTGTCCCAAGCTCGCAGCCATGTCCTTACATCCATGACAAACTCCACCACAACGCATCTCTCCCCACATCCAAGATGATGCATGAATGAGAACAACGTCATAACCAAGGACCTTGAGACACCTGTAGGCAGCAAATCCTTGTCCCACTGACCTGTGGCGACCTGACTTGCACTCCAAGTCCACCAGCACCTTACTGTCGGCTGCTCGAGCTGCAACAGAGACATCTGTAAGCAATCTGTGACTGTCTGTGACTGGTGCTCTCGCCTCGACGTTTGACGCCAATCGAATTTCAGCGACAGACTGCTATTAAAGGCAGAGAAAAGTGCGGCATTTTTTTTTTTGAGGAGCTTCTATCTGAAGAAAGAAGGTTGAAGGATTCTTGAGAAATTTTGCCGTCCGGCAGGAAGATGTTTAAGAGACAGGGTTTCTGCAGATCTTGGGCTTCTCTGCGCCGCCGCCGCGGCCGGCAGGCAGTCTTTAGGAGCAGTTTTTGGCCCACCTGGGCTTTAACTCGGGCCCGGCGCGGCCGGCAGGCAGTCTTTAGGAGCGAGGGAGAGAGGGAGGGAGGGAGAGAGAGAGAGAGAGAGAGCGAGGGAGGGAGGGAGGGAGGGAGAGAGGGAGAGAGAAGGAGAGAGAGAGAGGGTGAGAGGCCTTTTTTATAGGTTCTTTATCTTTGAAACGTCCGCCACGGCCTTGCGCGGCACTACTGGTAGACACATACATATACTCTGTGTGTGTATATAGATATAGAAATAGATAAAAATATAATGATCAAAAATAGGTTCTAAAATGGTGAACCACCATCTATCGGGACGTTTATCAATATCTGGTTGAACTGATGAATCAAGATGACATTCCTGAAAAGTGATAGTCGCCGCTATTCTTGAAGGGCAAACCCCCGTTATGAACAAACCAGGGTTTGAGGAGAATCCGGGGTTGGGATGATGTGAACAAACTACATGGTTTTGTTGGGTGTTCCAAACTATTTTGTTGATGGCGATACCCAGCAACTTCCATATTTTTGAGCTGGCGTGACGCCACCAAACAGTAGTATACCGTACACTTTGACAGAGGGGTTTGGATGAAATTGCAACTTCGCGTCCGTATGAAAGACCTTCATGAAGAGAACCTTGTCGCTTTGAAGGGGTTCCTATGACCTATTCCACTCACGACTCGCATGTTGAGCTCGGCAAGGGATCCACATGGACCAAGGTTGGACCAAAGTGCGATGGTTGGAATGACGGGCAAATCCTTGGTTCACCCCAACAGGCAAAAAGGGAGCGTTTGTGCCTCCAGTTCTTGCGATGTGGCTCCTGGTGTCCTAAATCCTGTCTGTGTTGTTGCCATGTGTTGTTTTTTTCCCTAAAAACATCTCCGATGCTTGGGTTCTCGTTTAAGTTACTGTAGTTCCCGGGGCCCAAACACGTCTTGACACACGGCTATGCTACTCTAGTGAACAACAAAATGGTTTGTAATTAACTGGCTGTTCATTCCTAAGCCATCCCCGAAGTCATGGTGATATCACTACCATATCCGTATGATATTCCTAGGTTATTTAAATCCATAGGTGTTGACCGTCAGGCAGCACGCGCGAGCTCGAAGCTCACAGGTGCGGGATTTGTCGTTTTTTTTGGTTTTGGAGGGAAGGAAGAATATACTTACCATATCTATCCCAACCAAGATAGACCCTCAGAATCCGTCATTTTGTTGGAAGTAGTCTTTCAAGCCCTTGGCATGGTCATTTCCTCGAAAAATCTCCATGTGGATGACATCCCTTTGACAGGCTCAAGTAGCGACATGCCACAAGCTGTTGTGGAAATAGGTACTAACGGTAGCGGATGATTGCTTTCCGGCGATTTGCTGGGAACCATTGAGCATATTTCTCTTCTTTACAGTATAAAACTCTACACCGGCATATGAATATGCCTCTCTTTTATCTATTGATCCATTTATCTATTTATCCATTGATCCATTTATCCATTGATCCATTTATCTATTGATCCATTTATCTATTTATCTATTTATCCATTTATCTATTTATCCATTGATCCATTTATCTATTGGTCCATTTATCTATTTATCCATTGGTCCATTTATCTATTGATCCATTTATCCATTGATCCATTTACCTATTGATCCATTTATCTATTTATATATTGATCCATTGGTCCATTTATCTATTTATCCTTTGATCCATTTATCTATCGATCCATTTATCTATATATTTATCTATTGATCCATTTACCTATTTATCTATTTACCTATTTATCCATTTATCTAATCTAATTATCCATTTATCATTATCCATGTATCCATTTATCTATTTATCTATTTATCTATTGATTTATGTCTTGTCAACGCAAAATATCTATGTATCGTTATTATTTTTAAATTTATCAATCCATCCATCCATCCATCCATCCATCCATCCATCTTTATCAATTAAACAACGTGTATATGCTAGCATGTCAGAGTCGTTTTTGGTCCAAACTTTCTCAGGCCGCGAAAAAAAAACCAGGCTGGATCAGAACGGTGCCAAAATGGGTGCTGAGATGATTCCGCTGGTCAAGGGTGCAACTATTGGGCTATTTACAACTCTGTGACTGCTTAGTGGTTTGGAACATTTTTTATTTTTCCATATATTGGGAATAATCATCCCAACTGACAAATATCTTTCAGAGGGGTTGAAACCACCAACCAGGTGATATTTGATAGCACTCACTTACCACCTGTTCATTACATTAATGGATCATCCCAGGATATTGTGATGGGGCTGTCATGCCACCTCAAAAAATCTGGATGAACCTCAATGCCAGCTATTGACTAGTAGTTGTTGGTTTCCTGCCCAGTTTTTGGTGGTTGAGTGGTTTCATAGCTCAATTTGTTCTGGCAAACGGGAAGATACACTTCCCAGCTAGAGTCTTAGCAATTGCAGGGAAATCTGGAATCAACCATGATGAGTTGGTGCTCGAAAATCAAAATTTTTTGGCGCTTCGATCCACAGCTGCTTGGTGGTTTCAAACATTTGGATTAACAGCATATATTGATGGGTTTCAAATATTTGGAAACTTGGTGGTTTCAAATATTTTCCATTTCATATATGGGATGTCATCCAAACCCCATTGACGAACTCATATTCATATTTTTCAGAGGGATTGAAACGGATAGGTCAACCACCAACCAGACAGTGTAACCAGCCTCTTCATAACCACCCGTTACCCCCTGGCAGGTAACGATCCTCCAGAGTTGCCGCCGGAAAGTCGAGCATCCTTCAGCTGGGTGTCTCCCAAAATTCCCCTGGCTTTGGAGAATCAGGTTTAAACATAGCCATGGTTAAGCCATGGCCCATAGAAATAGATGGTTTAATGGTTTACCCTAATACCTATTAAACATGGTGATTTTCCATGGCCATGTTAAACAACCAGATGGTACATATGTTTTTGTTTGAAATTGGGAGCAAAATGATCAAAATGCTGTTGGATCAAATATGGGGTTTCTTTTTGTGAACAGAATTTCGGGGGTTTCTTGTTTTGTTTCTACCCTTGGTTTTTGCCAACCCTTGGTTACCAACAGAAATGGTGGATTTGTAAAGCAGTTTTTGGCGCTGTCGCTCCCTCAACCAGGATTGAGGATGTGGCTTAAAGGCGATCCCTTAAAGGGAACGCCTGCCGCGGAAGTTCTCCATTCATGGCTAGCCGAAGGTCCATTGTCAGCCTTGTACGGGTTGCAGCATATTTTTGAAAAAGGAGAAATGAACTTGAAGAAATGGTGGAATCCTGGAACTGATTTGGGAACATTTGTCGAAACTGCTTTCAGAACATCAAGGAACTATGAAAACGCATGGGACACAAATTGCTGGAGTTTCCTGAGTTCCCAATAAGCATCTTCCAGTGCTCCGTCCTGAAGTTGCTGCTGGATCGACTCTTCGGTGCAAGAAAGTGAACGCTTTTTTCGCTGCGTGCAGCTGGATGGGTCGAGATTCTGGGAGAACTTGGATGGTTTGGACCGGTTTGGATAAGATGTTGTTTCCATATTTGCCTTGGGATGATTGGATATATCCCAAAAAAGTACAGTAATTGGTCATGATTTTTGATGTTAATCCCTAAAGTGGGATCATGATTTGCAACTGACTTTTTTGGGGAGCGGCTTGTTGAACGCATCAGAAACTGGAAGGGATATACAGGCAGCATGGGTATCAACAACTGCCATTGCTCCCTCTGACTCCAGTTCGCATGGTTCAACTTCGCGGAGCTGTTCGAAAAATGCCACTGGATGTTTTTTTTTTCATCTTTTTGCCCAGATGGGCTGTGAAAAAAATATATCCTTTGCGCATTCTCCAGCCTGAAAAGGATAAACGACCCTAGGGCAAGTGATTGGCGCACGACACAACATGTTTTTAGGGGACAGGCCACTGGATTCAGCTGTGAGATTTAGCGGACCAAAACCAAAACCGACCCCAGCGGCACATCGAAAGAGCTGATAGCCAGCGGATATTCATTTTTAGATTCACAGAAAAGGTCAGGAAGGGCCCTCCGCAGTTATGATTGGTTTATAATTTATATACAGCCCCGTCCCACTGTAGATACATCCACCATAACTCCCAGTTACTGTATATTAGTTTCAAGCCAACATTGCTGAATTGGATGATCCGACTATCCACTGCAGATCATCTTTGAGGGTACAATGGGGTCCCCCATTTCAACCTTACTCCAGGTGTCGACCTTCAACGGATCTCAATTTGCAGCAAATCCATTGATTATCATTGATTATCCATGATTGGCCAATATATATATATATATATAATAGAATATGTGTATGTAGAATACATGTAATATAATATATGTATATACGTGTATACGTGTATACATGTATACATGTGTTATTGTATATTGTATATTGTATATTGTATATTGCATATTGCATATTGTATATTGTATATTGAATATTGTATATTGTATATTGTATATGTATATTGTATATGTACATGTATAAAATGTATATGTATATATATATACATACAGGCATAGTTGAGGGAATATATGAGAAAATGATTGCACTACTTTTAGTGGGGCGTCTGCGTATTGCTGGTGGTTTTCCTTGACACAGATCATCCTAGTTATGGCCCTGGTTTTTTTGGGACAGGCTGCGCTGGAGTCCAGAGAGCAACAAACCACACACTGTTGACCTACAAAAAAAAACACAAACATATACAGTTTTTTTGACATACCCACCAAATGAGACACACCCCATGGCAAATCCCAGTTGTTTATGTCTCTCTCTCTATATATATATAGAAATACTATGTATACCACATATTCCACCAAACATGAACAAACAAAAATACATTCCCAAGTTCAGAGTTGCACCCCCTGTCAGCCCTCACAAAACTGCAGGGAGGACCGTTCCATCCTCGGGCGCCTTTTAAAAAGCGCCGCGTTGCAATCGTCGCAATGCCATGGCGGTCGAACTTCGCCCCGAGGAGTTGGGTGAATATTGTGGGATTTCATGGAACTATGGGGATATCATGATTATTATGGTATAATCTATGGGGATATCATGGATAAATCGATGGGGATTTAATGGAATAAAGGGTTACATACCAAAAATAATGGATTTTACTGCTAACACTAGTGGGATATGATAGTCATTATTGGGTACGCATGGCTAGCTGAGCAATCCCCCTAAATGAAGCTTTGAATGGGAAAATCATCGAACCAAATGGTGCATTTTCCAGCCATGATGACACCAGAGGGTCATTTTGGACCCATTGGGTTCCGTCCCGGTCTCAGCCAAACTCATTCCCTACCCAGCCCCAATTAATCCGTCGTTGATCCTTACTTAGTTGGTTTCCGGTTATTTTTGTTGGTCCGCCCCAACTTTTCTGGATAAACTCGTTGCACAATCCGTTTTTTCATTGGCAAAACCAGCACTTTCGTAGCACTTTCGTAACAATCCAAATTTCAGTTGGGTATAAAAGCCACGTTACCAGGTTTTGACCTCAAATCCCCATGGTTTGTGGTGGCTCTTCCCTTTTTCGCGGCGCCAGGATGGGGACGCCTGCGAAGCCTTCGCCTCGGAGCCATTGGAGGAGCTGCTGCACAGCTTCTCGGAGGGACAAGATGGAGCCCTGGTGCCTCGGCCAAGCGGCCGCGAAGCGCCAGGAAGTGTCGAGTTTTAAGATGGTTGGATCATAACTTTTGAATAGAATTCTAATATGATATAGATAGTAATATATAGATTAATATAGTAATATAGTGATATTTTTTGAAGGAACTAGGATTTTGATGATCCCAGTGCAAATTGGTTCTTATTATTTGCCAGAATATCCGCACGAATATCTCCATGATAATAATACTATTGGTTTGGTGGAGACATGGAGATGGATGGCATTTTTGGATGATTGATGATTTCATCCACGTTTTCCAATGGTTTCTGGTTGATTTTATATGAAGGGAGCAATGGGGAAGCATTAGAACCTGAGGGGTGGACCATTGGAAATAGGTGAGGATATAACGGAATGGAGCTGAGCAACATGTTTTGTTTTTTTGCAATGGTCAAAAGCGTGGTGCCCAAACAGTACCTAAAGTCATAGCTGGTGGATGTTGATCCCCCGAAATATGGCAGTAGGTTTTGACCCATCCCTAATTCAAGAATGGGAGGGTATATAACCAAGCAATGAAAAAGGGGATTTTCCACGGGATTTCGTGGGATTTAATGGGAATGTGACCATCCATTTTAGGGAATGACAATGGAAATGGATATTGGTGACTTAGCCACAAACAAATAGGGTCAGGGTCTTGATGGGATATTCGTGGGGATATAATGTGACACATATGTATGTATGTATATATATATATACACATCACCAACTATATCCAGTTGGGGTGTGTCTGAAAATCGCGGATTTATCACCCATGGTCATAGCATGTTTTTGTTGCGAACGTGAGGATTCACCATTTGGGGGTGTCCCACTCATCCCACTCACTGGGTCGAGTTTTAACATGTTTTAATGTCGTAAACCCAAGTGGTAAACCTCTTCCCAGATGGGATGGTTATGAAAAATGTTAATAAAAAACCTCTGGTAAAAGTGGGGATGGTTTAGGGTATAGGCGGTATAGGGTTAGGTTTTACCACATTGAAACTAGATATACCAACAACAACGATTGGGTTTACCAACAAACAAGGACTTAACCAACCACAAAGGGGATGTTCTGGGATATATATATATATAGCATATATATTTATATAGCATATATTATGTATTGTATATTATGTATTATATATTATATATGTATTACACACACACACACTGTAGATGTGCCTTTCAGAATATGGTCGGTTCAGAGGGGTTACCCATGATGATACTGTAAATGATCTACCAAACCGGCCATTCTTTTTGTCGAATGGTGTAGCTTGGCAATCACCCACCAACTCTTGTATGGGATATACCCCAGCTCTATATGGGTTATACAAGTTATAGCCACTTACAATGCTGCACCATATACAACTGGGTGTGTCCATGTATAGGTCACTGGGCTACACAACCTGGTATAGGTCACGTTTTTCCAATGGTTTCATGTGGGTAAATCGAACATGTTCCAGCCACAGCATGAATGTGTTTTAAGTTTCCTGATTTAAATTTAAATATTGGCTTCAATCAATAAACATGGCGTACACTGTAAATAGTGATAATGATGTCCCATCCCCATTTGATGGGGATGGGTTGCATGCCACCTGGCAGGGTCATGGGATGTATCATTGGGGAATGAAGCCTGCGTACTGGTTGAAGAAGGGAAGTGAAAATGCGAGAAACCAGCTGTCAGCTGCCTCCTGTTTCAAGAGCCAACGGGCAAACAGGATTTTGTTACACGGAAAATCGCAACTTCTTAGCCACCTGCTACCTGCTGAATTTTGGCTTTTGGGCAAGAGGCATTCAATGAGGAATCACTGACACTTTGGGACTCGCCTGGACGAAATTGCTTTAGGCTCAAATTCTTGGATTGTGTTTCCCATTCTTGTGTTACCCTTCAAAGTGTAGGTTGGCTGGGTAGCTTTATGAGGTGTGAAAGTGTTTTTCTTCCTTTTTGGGACACAAAGACCATCAAAAAGTCATCAAAAAGTCATCAAAAAGTCATCAAAAATCATCAAACAATCATCAAAAAGTCATCAAACATCATCAAAAATATAGTGGGCGCCTAGCAGTTAGAATTCGTAAAACATGGTGACAAGCACTTAGAATTGCGCCTCAGTGATACTTAAATCATGCACTTAGAATTGCCCACAGTGATACCCAAGTCATGCACTTAGAATTAAAAAAAATT